GTCTATGGGGTCATGAAGAGTCGGTCACAACTAAACGACTAAACAACAACAACAACATTGGGAGTAGGACCCTCTGGATGAAAGCATTCTTTTTTTTCTTTTTCTCTTTAGGTCCTCAACATAGTATTTTATTTTGTTCACATACACTATGCCATAAACTCATATGGAATTGGTTCCAGCAGTTCTGGCTCCTTGCCTTTGTTTCTCACAAAGTGGGCTTCTTTTGGAGGAGCAGGCTGGCGTTTTAGTTCAAACCAAATGATCTCGTCCCTGAATGGGAAGCCCGGACTTTGAAAGTCATCTAATCTCCCTTGCTGTATTATACTGTATTGATTAATTAGTGTTTTTATGGAGCAGTCAAGTAATTTCGTTGTCCCCGAAGGGGGCAATGACAATAAAGATATTATTATTATTATTATTATTATTATTATTATTATTATTATTTTCCTTTCCTTCTATTTTCTTTCTTTCGTTTTCTTTCACATATGCAAGAAGCTGTCTCTGCTCTTTGAGTGCTTAATATGCTCAATTTGCACATTAATTCTCTTGGCCAGGATCTTGCCCTTAACTTTCTTGTTCACAATAATGCCCACAGCATGCTGGACCCTCTGGATGAAAACATTCTTTTGATCTCTTCCCCCCCCCCAGGCCACCCCATTTTATCTTCTGCAAGGGCCACTGAGGTTTGTGTGGCAGCTGGGAGGAGCCCCGAGGTTGGATCTCCTGCTCCAAGGCCAGACCCACCATCCTCTCTCCTCCCCCCTTCTCCCTACCCTCAAAAGAGGAGATTGGTACTATCCTATGGGCACTGGGACCCCACCCCACCTCATGAGCAATCTAAAGGAGCAAGCCAAACTCCCTGAGTCTGGTTGAGCTTTCTAGAGTGGCAAAACCACAATGACATTCATTGTCTTTCCATGCATGATGGCCAGGCCCAAAGGTGTGGGGCAGGAAAATTGCTCCAGCAACCTGGAGCTGTTGCTCTGATTGGGCCAGAACCAGCTCTGGTGCTATCATGCCATGGTGATTGTGCTGGCTTGGGATCCAAGAGATTCCAGGCTGGTTCGGTCCCAGTCTCCCCCCTTCTGAAATCCACATTTGGTGTTTTCTTGTGGTTGCCACCTGCAGGGATCCCTTTGGTGTGACACTGATTCAGGTGGAAGGGAGATTTTCACTCCACAGGTAGCAGCTGTTGAGAGGCCAGTGGAGGTCTGCCAAGCTGATGGAAGAACACCTTCACCTAATCCATCCCTGCTTCCTGTGGGTGAGTTCCCTAGTTTAACCCTGCTCTGTGTGAAGAATTTTGTTTTATCTGTCCTGAATTTTCCAGCATTCAGTTTCCTTGGATTTCTACGAGTTTTGGCGTCACGAGAAAGGGAGAAAAGCTTTCTGCTTTCTCCATTCCAAGCAAAATTTTATAAACGTCAACCGTGTCACTTCTCACTTGCCATTTCTCTAAGCCAGGGGTCAGCAAACGTTTTCAGCAGGGGGCCGGTCCACTGTCCCTCAGACCTTGTGGGGGGCCGGACTATATATTTTTTTTGGGGGGGGGGGGAGAACGAATTTCTATGCCCCACAAATAACCCAGAGATGCATTTTAAAGAAAAGGACACATTCTACTCATGTAAAAACACACTGATTCCTGGACTGTCCGTGGGCCGGATTTAGAAGGCGATTGGGCCAGATTCCACCCCCAGGCCTCAGGTTGCCTAACCATGCTCTAAACTAAAAAGTCCCAAACTACAAATTAGGGGAAAGGGTCCCAAAATCAATAGGATTTCTTTTTAAAAATGATAAAAATGCTAAGCTGAAACCACCCATGCTTTTTGTGGGAACAGGAATTCTTATTCTGGGAGCCATACAATTTCAATGATACAACTTTGTTCACCTTTTCCTGGTGAGGGGCATTGAGGCTGGGCAGCCGGATCACAAGTATGCCAGCTTAGGGGGCAGAGGATTGCTGAACCCTCCTTGCGTCATGCCAATCGTGTTGCTGTTGCTGGGGTTCTACTTTTGCTTGGATGGAGGGGAGGTTGTAGTCCTTGCCTGCCCCTCCTCAGTAAGGGTATCCTGTTAAAGGGATCTGGGGTGTGAATCCTGTCTGAAGCCTGGACGTGGGCTAGGGACATGTCACAGCCCCCACAGGGACCCTCAGGATGCCCCTATTTGATGTAAGTCATAGAGCACCAGTGGTTTACCCTTACGTGGACTCCCTGCAGATATAGTCAAGATATAGCCTGGCTTTACCCCAATGCTTAAGCCTTGGGTAGGCAAACTAAGGCCCGGGGGCTGGATCTGGCCCAATCACCTTCTAAATCCAGTCCGCACACGGTCCAGGAATCAGCATGTTTTTACATGAGTAGAATGTGTCCTTTTATTTAAAATGCATCTCTGGGTTATTTGTGGAGACTGCCTGGTGTTTTTACATGAGTAGAATGTGTGCTTTTACAGTCATACCTCATGTTGCGTTTGCTTCAGGTTGAGCATTTTCAAGTTGCGTCCTGCAGTGACCTGGAAGTACCGGAAAGGGTTACTTCTGGGTTTCGCCACTCACACATGCACAGACGTTAAAAATGACATCACGAGCATGCACATAAGCGGCAAATCATGACCCATGCATGTGCAGATGCTCAGACACAGGTTGCATTCTGCTCAGGTTGCGAACGGGGCTCTGGAACGGATCCTGTTCGCAACCAGAGGTACCACTGGATTTAAAATGCATCTCTGGGTTATTTGTGGGGCATAAGAATTTGTTCATTTCCCCCCAAAAAATATAGTCCGGCCCCCCACAAGGTCTGAGGGACAGTGGACTGGCCCCCCGCTGAAAAAGTTTGCTGACCCCTGGGCCCCTAAGCCAAACTGCTCACATCTGTAAACAATAAAGTTGTGGCCTATTTGAACCCATAAACCAAAATACTTAGCATCTGTGTGCTTTATTGTTCGCCTGGGAACTTTGTGGCTCGGGTGCCTTAGCACGCAACAAATACTGTACATATACACATACAACTTTGGTGATAGCGATCAATCAGGAAGAGTTGACAGGTTTTTATTCAGGGAGCGGCCAGCATATGTTTTCTCTCTGGACAGTTAAAAACCCCTCTCCAGATAGTACATTGCTTTAGTAGGGTTATTAAATTTGCCATTTTGGGTCAATGGGAGTCATTCGTAATCTGGTCAGATTCCTAGACACTGTTAGCAAGGATGCTGAATGCATTCTGAAGCAGTGCATGCCAAGTCTATTTTTAACAGCTATCTTGGTCTGAGCAACAGAGTTAGTGCACCTGCTGTTGGACAATCAGACCATGAGCTATGAGGTAGTCTTGGTGCAATGGTGTTGCAATCATCAGAGGTCCATGTTGTATGTTTTCATTTGGCAGGAGTTATTTCCATATACTGTGGACTGCATGGACATTTTCAGAGACAGCTTCTGGCTGCACCATGTCACATCTTTTCCAGACTGGGTTCCCAAAGTTGGAAGGGACCCCCAGGAATTCATCCCCCCTGAAATGCAGGAATCACAGCTAAGTTATCCCTGGCACGTGGCCACCAGAACTCTATTTAAAACCTCCAGAGGAGTGAATTTTAAGAATGAGGGGGGGGATGAGAAACCCGGAGAACTGAAATGGTCAGATTTGAACAACCCAGTGGGTTTACATGGGCCTGCAGCCAAAGCATTCCTTCTACCAAGCCCTCTCCCCTCCTCCTTTTCATGAACTCTGAGCACATCCTGCTGACACTGAAATTTTAGTGCCTTGGTGGGGACGTGACCATGAACAGATCACCTGGGGACTGAGGAGTTTGGCCTTGCTTCAGTTCCCAGCTCCTTTGACTGTCACCTTGACTGATTTTTTTGATTATATTTTTTTGCACTGTACCCACAACTGAAAGCAAATAAGAGGATAAAGAGTGCCTGAATGCTGGAACTCAGCAGAAAAAAAGGGCAAAGGACTCTCTCTCTCTCTCTCTCTCTCTGTGTGTGTGTGTGTGTGTACATGTGTGCCTTCCAATGTTTGCAGTTCATCCAGGCTGCATAGAACCAAATAGAATGCAAAATTAAATAGGGAATCCTGCTTACACTGTGTATTGGAGGAAAGGGAGTTTGGGCTCCCATCTGCATGCAAACCCAGTGACTCTGCAGTCCTTCATACATAAAGCAAAGCACACCTATCTTTTGAAAGTTGCACCTCTTTGAATTTTAGGATGCAGTCCTCCAACAACAACAACAAATGCACACCGGAGAAAACCCACAGAAAGTTGCCTTACTCCAGGACAGACCGTTGATCTATCTAGCTCAGCGCTGTCTGCACTGACTGGCAGCAGCTCTCCATGGGTTCAGGCAGGGTGTCTTTCCCCAGCCCTACCTGGAGATGCTAAGGATTGAATCTGGGTCTTTCTTCATGCAGAACAAATGCTCTTAGAAATGAGCTGTGGCCTTTCCCCTGTGGCCATCCATATCCTCCAACATGCTGGGAGGGTTTTAGCAATGTTAGGGCTGCCATACATCTAGATTTTCCTGTACATTTCCGGGATTTCAAATGTGGAATTGACGTCTGGGGGAATTTCTGAAAGGCAGTGCTTTGTCCTTTTGTCCTGGATCTTAGGCAAGTAAAAACAAACAAACAAAAAACTCAACAACTTTTAGGGTTTCCTAAAAAAAGCTGAACAATTTTGGTGGTTTCCTAAAAGCTCAACAATTCGGGGGTTTTTAAATATGGCAACCCTAAGTGCAACATTATTATTTTTTTCTTTTACCCAATCAGTATTTATTGATGTTTCCAATGATTTTTAATGGATCACCTGTTCATTTTACCCTTACATGTTGTCCTCTGCCTTTCTATATTTTCACGAAGATGTGAATTATAAATTTTATAAATAAATAATTAAATGTGCCACACCAGGTTTGCCAGGCTGCTGGTCCACATGGTTACAATCATCTGCTGGTGTGTATAGCCGGTGTGAACCCACCCACTTCCCCAGCAATGTAGGGTAGTGACATCACCTTGAAATTCCATCAAGATTTTATTAAAAGGTCTTGATGACAAAGGAGCCGCGGTGTTTGTACATCAGTGTATAGGAGTTTTTAAGGTGGTGCTAACCAGATCATTGCGTTAATTCACACCTCTTTTATTTCATCAGGTGGTTCGTCATGGTCTCCATCGGCACCATTGTCGAGAACTTCCACCTCGAACTCAGGTTGTGGTTCTTCCGGAAACCCATTTACTTCTTTCCATATGGAGTACTTCATATCCCAGAGAGCTTCCACCATGTCCCAGATGACCGCTTTTTCTTCCTGGAGGTCTTGGTCATTATCCCTCAAAGCTATATACTCTTCCCAGAGGGCCATTTTGTCTTTGGATATGGCCATGTCCTCTTCCCAGAAGGTTTTGTCCTTCTTCCAAAATGCCTTGCATTCCTTCCAGAAGGCGTTGTTCTTCTCTTCAATGGCTTCTATCTTCTCCTGGATGGATTTGTTCTTCTCACGCATGCCTTTGTTGGCTTCCTGGTACTCCTTGTTCTTAATCTGGAAGGCTTTGACAGCTTCTCGAAATGATTCATTCCTTTCCTCCAAGGTAACAATCTCCTCCTCTGTTGTCTTGATCCTCTGCTGGAGTGCCTCAATCTTCTCCTGAAAGGTCTTCACCTGGTCCTGAATTTCCTTCTTTTTGGTCTGGAAGGCCTTGATCTCAGCCATGAAAACCCTGCTCTCCTCTAAGAAGCTCTTGATCTCATCCATGAAGCTCTTGTTCTTCATCTTGAAGGCATGGATCTCCTCCCACAAAGCCTTGGTTTTGTTATCTTCTCGGAAAGTCTGGATCTCCCTCCGTAGGCGTTGGCATTTCTTCCAGAATATCCTGATTTCCTCTTGAAGTGCATTTTTCTGTTCTCTCAGTTGGCGATATATGAACTGGCTCTTCAAGGATCTGGGGATATGGTTCATATGGTGCCAGCTCTCCCGCTTTGCAGAAATGTCATTGCTGTTGCCCTCCAGATAATCTGCACAGTTAAGAGTGACATCCGAATGTTTCTCCCCGTCCTCCATCTGATCACAGCTGTGTGCAGAGAAATACATGAGTGAGTGGCCTAGAAGGGGAGGTTGTGTTGCCCACTGACAAAGTCAGAAAACTGCCAACTCCAGAGCCTGACTCAGAGGATACAAACTTGGAGGAGACCGAGTCACCGCAAGGAACCTTACCTTCCGGCTTGGAAACTGGAATCTAGGTTGCGGAGGAGGACCCCACCACCAGCCCCAGTTCACACTAGGCGGGGAGCGATTGAGGATCTCCAATCTCAGACCCTGATGAGTCCCAGGGTCCATTTGTGCAGCCGTCAACCCAGGGTTTGGTTCACCACTCCAAATGCAGGACCTTCTCAAGCCAGCCATTTCAGGAGGAAAGATCATGACAGGGGAATTCAGTGTTAGGGGCTGGTGCACAATGTATTGCAATTTATTGCTGGACCTTCCTGTTGCTGGCCACTGTGAGAACAGGCTGTTGGGTCCCTTCCAACCCTACAACTCTACAATTCTATGAAAAATGAGATTAGCGATATACATGGAGGATGAAGCCGTCAGTGTCTACTAATGATGGAAGCTATGTTACCTTCTTCATCAAAGGCAGCATATATCTGAATACTAGTTTCTTGAGATCAGAAGCAAGAGAGAGCTCTTTGCGCTCATGTACTGCTTTTGGGCTTCCCAGAGGCATCTGGTTGGCAACTGTGGGAGACTTGATCCTGAACTAGATAAATCTGATGCAGCTGGGCTCCCTTGATAAAGCCTTGGTGGCTTTGAATAACAGAAAAGAGAGAAAAGAACTGTCAAGATGCCTTAAATCCCCCCAAAATAAGTAAGCCTGGGATGTCCACTAACCTGCACCTCCTCCTCCTGCTATGATGAAGACCCCTTTGTTAAGAACTTCATCGTCATAGCAGCCTGAGAATATTAACAAAACAATGCCAGAACTTCTGCAGATCTTCTGGTTCCGTCATTAGAATGCCAAGGTTGTAGCTGATGAAAATGGAACATGGGAAGCTTATTTTAGCTTATCTGCAGTCACACCATTGGTCAATCTAGCTCTGTATTGTATACACTTACTTTCAGGTGATCACCATGGATTGAAGCTGGGATCTCCTGCATGCAAAGTGGAAGCTCTGCCACTGAGATGCAGGATCCTTCTACAAGGGTGGATTTTTAAGAGACCAAAGGTAACACCACCATGAATGTGGAGAAGTGGCTGCATCAGGTATCAGAGAGCCAGTGTGGTGTAGAGGTTAAGAGCAGTGGACTCGTAATCTGGTGAACCGGGTTCGCTTCCCCACTCCTCCACATACAGCTGCTGGGTGACCTTGAGCCAGTCATACTTCTTTGAAGTCTCTCAGCCTCACTCACCTCACAGAGTGTTTGTTCTGGGGGAGGAAGGGAAAGGAGAATGTTAGCCGCTTTGAGACTCCCTAGGGTAGTGATAAAGCAGGATATCAAATCCAAACTCTTCTTCTTCTTCAGATGCTGGTGGAGTTTTTGCAGTGGGAAGAATGGGAAACCATAACAGGGTCACTAGCCGTGGGTGGGCTTCAACCCTACAGCTGTGCAACCAAGAGTTTGGCACCTGCTTGCTTGGAACCATGTGTCTCCCTCAGGGACACCATGAGCCTAATTTATGAAAATGGGTTCATTTTGCAGAACCAGTGCTGGATTTACATATAAGCTAAACAAGCTATAGCTTAGGGCCCCACTCTCTTGGAGGCCCCAAAAAAATTTAAAGGAAAAAACCTGAATGTACATTTCCAAAATATAAGATGAAAAACAAACTAAAACCTACATACAGCAACAGTGTTTTGTGTTGTGTAGGCTCCTATGATGTAAGTAATGGGCCCCGCCTGCTAGCCTGCTCCCTAAAATATCACTGGTTTGCTCATTTCTATATATAGGGTGCCTATGTTTTGTAAGATTGAGGGCACAAGGAGAAGATGACGACAGAGGGTACGATGGTTGGACAGTGTTATAGAAGCGACCAACATGCATTTGACGAAACTCTGGGAGGCAGTGGAAGACAGGAATAATAATAATAATAATAATAATAATATCTTTATTGTCATTGCCCCCTTCGGGGACAACGAAATTACTTGACTGCTCCATAAAAACACTAATTAATCAATACAGTATAATACAGCAAGGGAGATTAGATGACGTTCAAAGTCCGGGCTTCCCATTCAGGGCCGAGATCGCTCTGGAGAAGAAGCTGTTCTTAAGACGGCTCGTTCTTGTCTTCATCGTCCTGTATCTCCGTCCCGACGGCAAGAGCTCGAAGAGACAGTGACCAGGATGCGATGGATCTTTTACTATGTCCAGTGCCTTCCTATGGCACCTTGTGGCATAAATCTGCTCTAAGGTGGAGAGTGGGCAGCCAACAATGCTCTCTGCTGCCTTAACAACCCTGCACAACCCCATCCTGTCCTGGGTAGTACAGCTTCCGTACCACACACATAAGCCATAAGTGAGCACGCTCTCAATGGCACAGTGATAGAAGGCAAGCAGCAGAATGCCTGGCGTGCTCTGGTCCATGGGGTTACATAGAGTCGGACACGACTAATCAACTAAACAACAAAACATTTTGCATGGACTGCTTGCATGGCAACATGTGCAAATGACTTTAGATGCCTATTAGGTCCATAAATTGCCATATAGCATATATTCGACACACACACAGAAAGCGGCAATTTGTTGTTGACAAAGGACAGCTGGACATATAATGGGCCCCATTACCTTCAGTAGCTTAGGGCCACATCAAACCTAAATCCAGCCCTGTGCAGAACCCATCAGAAATTCTTTTAACCAGAATGCCAATCTAAGTTATGTGAAAGGAACAAAGCTTAATCATTGGATAACAATGGCCATTCTTGTGGAATTTGTCAGTAGATTTGATGCCAGGAGTGGGGGATGATTTCCCACCCAAGTACTGTTTTCTGTTGTGGGAAACTTCCTATGGGCCTCATACCAGTGGTGGGTGGAGCCAGGGGAAGAAGTGGGTGGAGCAACAATTGTGATTCTACAGTAGGACAGAGGCAGAAGTAGGCACAGCAACAAGTGGGACTTCAAATCCTCCAAGTGTCCCTATTTTCCAGGGACGTCCCTGATTTAGAGAAATTATCCCAGTTTCTGATTTGATCATGGAATTTCCTGCTTTTCCTTAGGAGAAATGATGGAGGGTATGAAGTTATGCAACCCCTGAGCCAAGGAGATAAGTAACTATATGTGGCGTTTGCCTCCTAGGCAGGTCATAAGGAAAGGGTTAAATGCATGTGATGTGATTGGCCAGAGAGGAGTTAGAGTGAGAGTCGGAGCTGTGTGGAAGTTGGTTGGGAATTGGAAGTTGAAGAAGGAAGAGGGAGGTTAAGTCTGTGGGTTGGTCGAGTTGTGTGGTGAGGGAGTGAGAGGAATTGTTAGGTGGAGTCAGATAGATAGTTGGAATAATCGGTTTGAAGTTGTTAGGAACGCATAGGACAGTTTAGGAACTAAGATTAAGAAAACTGCCAAGAAAAATTAACTGAAACCATAGAGGAGGGAGAAAGGTTGTTTTCTGCTGCTCCAGAGAAGCGGACACGGAGCAATGGATCCAAACTACAAGAAAGAAGATTCCACCTAAACATTAGGAAGAACTTCCTGACAGTAAGAGCTGTTCGACAGTGGAATTTGCTGCCAAGGAGTGTGGTGGAGTCTCCTTCTTTGGAGGTCTTTAAGCAGAGGCTTGACAACCATATGTCAGGAGTGCTCTGATGGTGTTTCCTGCTTGGCAGGGGGTTGGACTCGATGGCCCTTGTGGTCTCTTCCAACTCTATGATTCTATGATTCTATGGTAAGCTTGTTCATGCCTCTAAATAAACTTGATTATTTGTTAATGTTAACAACTGTCTGGACTCCGTATGTACCCGTGAGAAACGGGTTGGTGGCAGCGAAGAAAGCAATCACAGTGGTGGCACAGGGTCAGTAGACCGTCAAACGCCCGGGGACCCTGTGTGATCGCCACACTATACAACCTTTAGAAGACATCTGAAGGCAGCCCCGTATAGGGAGGTTTTTAAATGTTTGATTATGTTTTTTATATATATGTTGGAAGCTGCCCAGAGTGGCTGGGTCAACCCAGTCAAATGGGTGGGGTATAAATAATAAAATTATGATGGGATGTCCCTATTTTCATCAGAGGAAGGTTGGAGGGTATGGGACTGTAAAGTAGGCTACAATTTAGCCACACCAAAAGCCAGTGGTTTCTGCACACACAGAGAGAGAACATGTCTCTATCTTCCATTCAGGCAAGCAAGAGGTATTACATAAATGTAGCAATACACTCCGGCTAGGAATAAATCACTCAAAGAGAATATGAAGCGGGGCTGGTGAGAGGTATGGTCTGTCTCAAGGCAAATCTAAAAAAATGTAGTATAAACACTGACAACTGGGAAATACTGACCTGCGAGCGCTCTAGTTGGAGAACAGCCTTTACCAAAGGTGTCATGGGCTTTGAAGACGCTCAAACTCAGGACACAAGGGAGAAATGTGCAAGGAGGAAGGCACTCTTGGCAAATCCACATCGTGATCAGCTCCTGCCAGGAAACCAATGTCCCCACTGTGAAAGGACGTGTGGATCCAGAATTGGCCTCCACAGTCACTTATGGACTCATTGTTAAAACCGTGTTTATGGAAGACAATCTTACTCGGCTACGAGTGACAACCAAAGAACCAGAAGGTCTGCAGAGAGTTCTGAGGACCACCATTTAGCACCTGGAACTAAGGTTCTCCATGCCTGAATGATTAAAAGGTGCTGAGCGTTGACAGGAGACTCCTTTTCTTCTCTCAGAATTACAGTTTCCACAGTGGTTTAGCAGTCAATACCTCTTCCTGGGGAACTCTGGGAATTGTAGGTCTGGAAAGGAAACAGGAGTCTCCAAATAACTCTCGACAACCTTTAATAAACTACACTTCCCAGGGTTCCTTGTGGGAAGCCATGGCTGTTCAAAGTGGCATGGTACTGCTTTAAATGTTCAGTGCAGATGGAGCCCGAGTATAAATAATGAGGGATAAATTACATTGTTGTGTGCATAATTCTGTGGATGAGATTTAATATACAGATAGCAATGGGTGACGGATACATCACGCTATAGGAAAAAATAACAGAGGAGCCCTGCTGAAGGAAACCAAAAGCTTATCTAATCCTGCATTCTCCTTCCTCAGTGGCCAATCAGAAAACCTTCAGGGTGCACCAGCAGGTTTTATAGAGAAATAACTCTTTTCCACTTCTACCCCACCACCACCAACCCAAGTTACAGGTATTCAGTAGCATTCTGACCCTGAATGTAAGCACTCAGTTTAGCGATCATGGCTGTCTCCTTTGTGGCTTTGACTAACCTTGTTTCAAAGCAATCTAAGCTAGAGGCCATTAAGTACCTGTTGTGCGAGTGGATTTCATAAAGTAATTCTGCATTATGTGAACCAATGCTCTGGCCTTTTGTCTGCCCAGATTCCGCCACCCCACAGCTTTGCAGAATGACTGCAAGTTCTGGAATTATAAAGAAGGGAGGGGGGAAATCTATGCTTAAAATCTCCCTTTTGTGCTGGAACATGTTAAATTTTATAAATCTCAGAACTGGCTCCCTTTACAAGCAGGGATATCTGGCCCCTGTTAAAGTGAGCTGCTTCAAGCGGTCCATTCCATTTTCTTTCTTTTTCTCAAATACAGCAGCATAATGGAAAATATAGAGGAGGGAAAACTCGCACAGCTCCAATTTACACACATTTCCAAATAAAACCACCTTTTAAAGGCATCTGCTGAACCATTGTCTCTATTGCCAAATAGGTTACTATTCTCCTGCAAAGTCCTTTGTCCACAGCCCCTCAAAAAAGTCCACAGCCCCTCAAATAATTCAGAGTGAACAAGTTAAGTTTTTCAGAAGCTGCAATGAACAAAGCCTTATGAAGCCAGTTGGTCATGGAATATGATGAGGGCTCCTTCCACTCTGGTGCCATGACTAAGCAGGCAGCCGCCAACAGATGGCTAATAAGAGATTTGCTATGAAGGTTCAAATTCTGTCCCCAAAACGCATTCAAATAAGCAGATCATAGAGTGATCCTCTGTCCAGTGATTGTCCTGATTTCTGGTGTCCCTCAGAATTTACTCACAGGAGTGCAGTCTCACTACCTATGGTGACAAAACCCTCTGGAGTTGCACCCCCTCCAACAAAGGGAGGATGTGGTCTTGGAGTTACAATTCAGGTAGACCAGAATCAAAAACCACCTGTGAAAAACTTTTAATGAATTTCCACATACATTAGCTGACGCCATCTTGTTTAGATGACCAGATTTTTTTGTCCACTGCAAGGGATCAATTGAGGGCTGATCCAGAGATTTATTTTGCAATGGACATACTAATAGCTCCCACAGAACCTTTCTTCCCACTGGTCCATCTCCTTCTTCCAAAGTGCCATCTCAGCTGTCCAGCTGTCCAGCTCTTCTTTCCAAAGCTCTGGTTCCTCTTTCAAGACATTCCTGATGCTCTCAAAGAGATCTGTGACCTTCTTCCAGAGCTTCATGTTTCGCTCCCATAAAATGGTGTTTCGTCCATCTGTGCGCTTGGAGAGCTCCCTCTTCTTTTGCCAAAATGCCACCAGCTTCTCTTTCCTGAACTTGTTTTCCTTCTTGAGCCTCTCAATGGCATCATCCAGAGCCTTCTCCTTGCTCTTAAAGTCTTCAGTCTCCTTATCCATCAGGTCCATTTGGCTCCAGAGTGCCCACTTGCGATTCCTCAAAAAGAGAGATTTGCATTGACATTGACATACACAATTCCCACTCCCCCAATACAGATCTAGAACTAGGTACTGAAATTTAAATAGAAAAACAAAATAAATTCATCATTTCATTTTACCTATTGCATTTATATCCTATCCTCAAGGTTCCTTATCTATGCTCAAGAAAGAAAGAAAGAAAGGTAATGGATGGTTAAGTCCAGTCAAAGCAAACTATAGGGTGCAGTACTCATCTCACTTTCAGGCCAAGGGAGTCAGCATTTGTCCACAGACAGCTTTCTGGGTCATGTGTCCAGCACGACTTCTGGTGCAATGGAAAACCGTGATGGAAACAAGAGTGCACAGAAACGCCGTTTACCTTCCCGCCGCAGTGGTACCTATTTATCTACTTGCACTGGCATGCTTTCGAACTGCTAGGTTGGCAGGATCTGGGACAGAGCAACGGGAGCTCACTCCATCACAGGGATTCGAACTGCCGATCTTCTGATCACCAAGCCCAAGAGGCTCAGTGGTTTAGACCACAGCGCCACCTGCACCCCCCTATGTTCAAGTACAGCTGTGGTGGCTAACCTTTTTTGATATTTTTGAAACTTGAATAGTTTCAATCAGGCATCCCCAACCTTCGGCCCTCCAGAAGTTTTGGCGTACAATTCCCATCATCCCCGACCACTGGTCCTGTTAGCTAGGGATCATGGGAGTTGTAGGCCAAAACATCTGGAGGGCCGCAGGTTGGGGATGCCTGGTTTCAATCAACAACCTCTTTGCAAAGGCAAAGAGGAATGAAGTCCTGCTACGAGCAGCCAGATCCAGGACAGATGCTGTGGGAGTGGGGCTGGCCCTTCCTTGGACTTCATGTGGGGGGGCATCCACATCTCACACCCCCCACCAAACACCAGCTGCAACACTATACTCAAATAAATATAACCTGTTCACACCTGCTAGGGCCTCTTGAGTCTTCCTTATGGCTGTGTTGACAAGTGACTCTTGGAAGCAGGGTGTTTGAAGATCACAGATCAGAGGCTCCAGGTGTCATCTATGTCAGCCTGGTGACAGGCTGTGTCATAGTAGGTCACTGGTAACTCAGCGCTGGAGCACTGTCCCCTGTTGGTCAAAAGGATAGTGCCCCAAAACCACCCAGGGATTTTGGGAGCCCAGCGTTTTTTCTGGAGCTGCCTCATCCTATGTCAGGGACCGGGCTGAAGACTGAGAGAAAACAGTAAAGACCTGATGAAGAGAGCACAGCAGAGGTTATATTTTCTGAGAATCCTCCGGAAAAATAATCTCTCAAAGGACCTGTTGATGGCTTTTTACCATTGTACTGTTGAGAGTGTATTAACTTATGGTCTGTGTGTGTGGTTTGGGAGCTGCACAGTCAGGGAAAAAACAATGCTGTCCAGGGTTGTAAAGACTGTGGAGAGAATAACTGGGTGCACTCTTCCCACCTTGGATCAAGTGTATGCTTCCAGGTGCCATAAGAAAGCTGTAGAGATACTGCAGGATAGCGTGCACCCCGGAAATGATCTCTTTCAGCTTCTGCCTTCTGGAAGAAGGTACAGGGTTATAAAGACTAGGACTAGCTGCCTGAGAAACAGTTTCTATCCAAATGCAATTTTGGTTTTAAACGCAGTGTAAGGTAGTCTATGTGGGAATATATTGTATTCACTTATGGGGTATCAGAGTTTTTAGGGGGCTAACCAGGCTGGGATAGCAGGCTTGTTGGTTTTTGAATGTCTGATGTAGATTTTTTCAATTTCGTTGTTCTGTATGGGACAATGACAATAAAGATTATCCTATCGAATGGTGGAGATCACCTCCCCAGCCTGACTCTTCCAGAGGAGAAGAAGACAGTTTAGATTTACAACAGGGGTTTGAGGGAGCTCACAGCTCAGAGGCAGATGAGGGGGCAAGTTGGGAAACAGAGAGAAGGAGGAGGAGGAGGAGGAGGAAGCACTGGGGGGATAACAACTGATGGACATAGTGTTTTTAGAAAGCATTCCAGACCCTCCATCTCCCAGAACCTAGCGAGCCTTGAAAGTAGGAGAGCAAAGAGCTCAAAGGCAGAGGGCTGCAACAAAATGCAGCACGCGTGGTAGAGACGTTGAGCTTGACGAATGAGGAAGTGGAAGAGACGGGGTGGATGGGTGTGGCGATTCACTTGGGACAATGCCATTATCCAAGAGGCTGGGTTTTATAGCCTCTCTCTGTAAATACTGAGTAAAAAGTCGGTGGTAAGACCATTCCTTGCCTGTGTTTGTTCCTGGGTGACTGGCTGTGGGAGTCGCTGGCAGCAGCCTGACATCCTATAAGCCAGTGATAGGGAACACCCAAGTTGGAGGACCAAACCTCTCTGTCTGGCTCTCAGGGCTGTCCCAAGGCCACACACATCACCGACCTGAGTGTTTTTGCCTGGCTAGGAGGCATCCTTGAATGCTGATAATGCCTCTTGTTTGCTGGATGGAAGGTAGAGAGAGCTGTGTGGGTGATTGTAGAAGCTAGCCTACTATGCAAAGGGGGGGAAACTGGCTTTTGTTGCCCTGCCCATGTGGCCTCTGGAAGGTTGTCCAAAAGGGATTCCAACCCTTGTTTTAGAAAAGGTCCCCTACCCTTCCTTCGTAATACTAGAACTTGTGGACATTCAATGTTGGAAGATTCAGGAGAGATAAAAGAAAGTACAGCTTCATTGCAGGGCAGAGATAAGCTATGGAACTCTCTGCCACAGGAGTCAGTGATGGAGACCAACTTGGATGGCTTCAAAAGAGGAATGGACAAATTCATGGAGGAGAAGACTATCCATGGCTACTAGCGAGGATGACTATGCTGTGCCTCCACAGTTGGAGACAGAAATGCTTCTGAATGCCAGTTGCTAGAAACTGGCAGATGGGAGAGTGCTCTTGGGTCCTGCTTACTGGCTCCCCTCTAGGGCATCTGGTTGGCCACTGTGAGAAAAGGATGCTGGACTAGATGGGCCATTCGCCTGATCTAGCAGGCTCTTCTTATGTTGGGGAACATCAGCAGTTTTTAGCTGTTTGTTGTTGTTGAGTCGTTTAGTCGTGTCCCACTCTTTGTGACCCCATGGACCAGAGCATGCCAGGCACTCCTGTCTTCCTCTGCCTCCCACAGTTTGGTCAAACTCATGATGGTAGCTTCGAGAACACTGTCCAACCATCTTGTCCTCTGTTGTCCCCTTCTCCTTGTGCCCTCCATCTTTCCCAGCATCAGGGTCTTTTCCAGGGAGTCTTCTCTTCTCGTGAGGACGCCAAAGTCTTGGAGCCTCAGCTTCAAGATCTGTCCTTCCAGGGAGCACTCAGGGCTGATTTCCTTCAGAATGGATAGGTTTGACCTTCTTGCAGTCCATGGGACTCTCAAGAGTCTCCTCCAGCACCAAGTTTTTAGCTAAGCATCCCAATACCTTACTGAGTTGGACAATGGGAGTGAAGGGGGGGAGGAACATAGACACAGCACTGGGCAGGGTGGAGAGGTTTAACACTCCAAATTCAACCCACTGCAATTCCCGGACTGCAATTCCTGCATTGCAGGGGGTTGGATTAGATGGCCCTCGGGTTCACGTCCAACTCTGCAATTCTTTGATTCTGTAATTCTATGTATGCGACTGCCCACCAATAGAATTATCCAGGTGTTATGTACTGAGCTGAATTCTAGAACAATAGGATCCAGAATGCAGCAGTCTGATTGGTCCACAGGAGCCACCCAATCCAGCAGCTGATTCCAGCTCTAGGTGGAAGGGAATCAGCGACCTGATTGGCCTGCAGGAGCAGTCCGGAATTAGCCAATCACGCGGGGCCCATTGTGTAAATAATGTATATATAGCTAGACATTTTGGGGAAAGTTTCATTCATTGCTACTACGAGCTGAATAAAGAGCATGAAATTCAAACTCTACTCCGAGTATATTTCACCAGGCAACTTATCAAAACAAAGAAACATCACGCAGTGTTTGAAAGTACTGTAATAAAAACAATAAAAGAAGGATTAAAGCACCCAGCAGCATAAAAGTTTCCTTCTGGCACAGGCAAACACCTGGCAACTGAACTTAAAGCTAGGCTAGAATATAATGAATTAAAAAAAGATGTTTAGATATACCTTTGCCAAAAAAACCTGAAGCATTTCTGCTAGGTTTGATGGAAGAGAATATTGCGAAGATAGACCAAAGACTATTTATGTACGCCACAGTAGCAGCGAGAACTTTAATGGCCCAAAAACGGAAGTTACAGGAGTTACCAATGATTGTGGAGTGGCAGGTGAAGATGATGGACTTTGCAGAATTGGCCAAGCTGACCTGCAGGATTCGAGGCCAGGAGTAAATTTATGGTATATTTGAATAATAATTGCAAAATAATTGCAAAAATTTGAAGACACTAGCAGGATTGAAATAAATCCTACAAGGTGGACAATGGAGTTAAAGAGCTAAAATGCGAGATAGGACTTGAAAGCAGAAAACCTGCTAAAGGGAGGGAGGGAAGTCATAGGCTTGGCAGAGCAGAAAGAGAGAGAGAGAGAGAGAGAGAGCGCACTAGGATAGAAGAGCTAAAGTATAACATTTGATTAAAATCAGCTTAAACCAGTGAAGGCCAAGGGTTCGTTTTATAACGCAAGGTCAAAGTGCATTGTCCGGATGGGCATTCTGTCTGCATAAGACATTCTGAGATGCTGGAATGCTGATTGGGTGTTGGATAGGAGGGCAATGAAATGAACATTTTGTTGCAGGCCATCACTACACCAGGTGATGTGGGTGGCGCTGTGGTCTAAACCACTGAGGCTCTTGGGCTTGCCGATTAGAAGGTCAGCGGTTCGAATCCCCACAACGGGGTGAGCTCCCACTGCTCTGTCCCTGCTCATGCCAACCTAGCAGTTCAAAAGCACACCAGTGCAAGTAGATGAATAGGTACCCCTGTGGCGGGAATGTAAACGGCATTCTGTGTTCTCTGGTTTCTGTCACTGTGTCCTGTTGCATCAGAAGCGATTTAGTCCTGCTGGCCACATGACCCAGAAAGCTGTGTGTGGCCAAATGGCTCCCTTGGCCTGAAGGCGAGATGAGCGCCGCAGCCTCATAGCTGCCTTTGACTGCACTTAACCGTCCAGGGGTCATCTACCTTTTTACCTTACACCAGGTGGCAGTGAGTTCCAAAATTTCAGTGCATGTCACAAAAACAGGGACTTACCCTTTCCTGTCCTGAATATCCTGCCAATCAGTTTCACTGAATAACCTTCACCATAGAAACATGGACCTGGGTTTTTTGGGGGGAGGGGAGAGGTCCAAACTTCACATTCAAAGCTAACATTGAGAAAATGGTAAACCTCAAATATTTGAGGAGATCCTCCTTTTCTCCCTTAGACCTGTGCCTTTGCAGCCAGGGCTGGATTTAGGTTTGATGAGGCCCTAAGCTACTGAAGGTAATGGGGCCCTTTCAATGCCCATCTGTCCTTTGTCAACAACAAATTGTTGTGGTTCGAGGACCCGATCCCCGCGTAGTGAAATGAAGACACAAGGACAAGTAATATAAGGTTAATGGGCAAGAAAAGGCCACAACTTTATTGATTACAGCAAGTGAAAAGGTATTGGCTTAGGCATTGGATCACGTGACTTGACTCCACCCACTCGGAGAGGGGTGAGTCTGAAAAGGGGGGTTTATTCGCCAGTAGGTGGAGCCTGTTGGTGCTAATCCAACTATAAGCTCTCCCCTGATGTCACCGAGGGTCGTGCCATGGCCCCCCGCCACACAGGCATCGGACAGGATCCACGACCGCCGGATTCCTTTAACGGAATACCCAAAAATTGAAGGCATAGGCGATGGCCACACCTAGCCCTTCCACACACCGCAACATATTCCAATGCCTAACTGCCACCCGAGCCCAATGACTCGCCACGGGATGACAAAAATGAGGCCGCGTGGCTGGCGGAGCAACAAGTTAAGTTGCTATCCACGCCCCCTTTAGCCGCCTGATTGGCCGCCTGCCCGTGGGCGTGGTGCACCAGCCAGGTGAGTGGGCGGCAGGGGGCTAACGCCCCCTGCTTGAGGCTTGGATCGGATCCCGCCCACAACCACTCCCCTCTCTTGAAGGAGGAGAGCCTTTGCTATCTTTTGTGTTGAATATATGCTATATGGTAATTTATGGACCTAGCAGGCATCTAAAGCCATTTGCACATGCAGAATGTAGGCACCCTATATATAGAAATGAGCAAACCAGAGATATTTTAGGGAACAGGCTAGCAGGTAGGGCCCATTACTTACATCACAGGAGCCTACGCAACACAAAACACAGTGGCTGTATGTAGGTTTTATTTTATTTGGTTTTTATCATATGTTTTGGAAATGTACCGTATTTTTCGCCCCATAGGACGCACCAGCCCATAGGACGCACCTAGTTTTTTTGGGGGGGAATAAAGGAAAAAAATTATTTCCCCCCCAGGTGCAGGGCTGGGGCGGGGGAAGCCCGAGCTTCCCCCGACCCCAGCCCCCAGAACAGGCTGCTATCCGCAAGCTGTGGGAGAGCTGCTCGAAGTTGCGCACCTCTCCCATGGCTTTTGAAAAGCTGCACGAAGCCCGAAGCTTGGGGCATGCTGAGCTCAGCGCGCCCCAAGTTTCTGGGTGCAGGCAAGCTCTCCGCTATCCGTGGGAGAGCTGCGTCTTCCACGGCTAGCGGATAGCTTCCTGAAGCCTGGAGAGCGAGAGGGGTCGGTGCGCACTGACCCCCCTCGCTCTCCAGGCTTCAGCGAAAGCCTGCATTTGCCCCATAGGACGCACACACATTTCCCCTTCATTTTTGGAGAGGAAAAAGTGCGTCCTATAGGGCGAAAAATACGGTACATCTAGGTTTTTTTTTAAAAAAATAATATTTTGTGGGCCACCAAGAAAGTGGGGCCCTAAGCTATAGCTTGTTTAGCTTATATGTAAATCGGGCACTGTTTGCTGTAAAGAAAGGGAAAGGGAAAGGGACCCCTGACCATTAGGTCCAGTCGCGGACGACTCTGGATTTGTGGTGCTCATCTCGCTTTATTGGCCGAGGGAGCCGGCGTACAGCTTCCGGGTCATGTGGCCAGCATGACTAAACTGCTTCTGGCGAACCAGAGCAGCGCACGGAAATGCTGTTTACCTTCCCGACAGAGCGGTACCTATTTATCTACTTGCGCTTTGATGTGCTTTCGAACTGCTAGGTTGGCAGGAGCAGGGACCAAGCAACGGGAGCTCACCCCATCGTGGGGATTTGAACCACCAACCTTCTGATTGGCAAGTCCTAGGCTCTGTGGTTTAACCTACAGCACCACCCGCATCCCTTTGCTGTAAATACCCTGGAGTAAATTACAGTAATTCACAAGACAGCTACACAGAGCAAATGACTGCAAATCTCGGCTTGCAGGTAAGATGCACAAGGTGTCCCCTGCTGCTTGTTGATGTAACATTTCAGTGATCCTCTTGATGTAGTGTTAACATGTTTATCCGAGCGACCCCCACCCTGGCGTGACATTTATCGCATGCTGGTATCTACTGCTGCTAAACGTTTAGCTCGAAAAGGCTCGTTTGATGCATCTCCACATTGGGTCCTACACTTAACGAGAGCCTGTCACAAGGTGGTTAAGTCCAGCAAATTGAGTGATCTTGACAGCTGTCTTGTTCTGTAGCTCTTTTCCCAGGTGTTCCGGGCATGATAACCGGATCTTTGTTTTCACTAAACTGAATTACAGCAAGAGAGAGAGAGAGAGAATGAGAGAAAAAGAAACAACATTGGGTGCTGTCCTGGCTATTGGCACCTTTGATCATTAGTACCAAGGAACCAAAATCCATCCCCTTCCATTTTGGCTCAGTGGTAGAATCCATGCTTCATGGGCTGAAGGTTGCAGGTTCCATCCCTGGCACCTCCAGTTAATAATAATAATAATAATAATAATAATAATAATAATAATTTTATTTATACCCCGCTCATCTGGCTGGGTTTCCCCAGCCACTCTGGGTGGCTTCCAGAAAAATATTAAAATACAATACTGTGGTACCTCGGGTTACAAACTTAATTCATTCTAGAGGTCCGTTCTTAACCCGAAACCGTTCTTAACCTGAGGCGTGCTTTTGCTAATGGGGCCTCCTGCTGCTGCTGCACCGCCGCCGCACGATTTCCGTTCTCATCCTGGGGCAAAGTTCTCAACCCGAGGTACTACTTCTGGGTTAGTGGAGTTTGTAACCCGAAGTGTTTGTAACCTGAAGCATTTGTAACCCGAGGTACCACTGTAATTCATCAAATATTAAAAGCTTTCCTAAACAGGGCTGCCTTCAGATGTCTTCTAAACATCAGATACTTGTTTATTTCCTTGACATCTGATGGGAAGGCATTCTACAGGGTGGGCGCCACTGCCGAGAAGGCCCTCTGCCTGGTTCACTGTAAGCTCACTTCTTGCATTGAGGTAACTGCCAGAAGGCCCTCGGAGCTGGACCTCAGTGTCCAGGCTGAATGATGGGGGTGGAGACGCTCCTTCAGGTATACTGGGCCGTGGCTGTTTAGGGCTTTAAAGGCCAGCACCAACAGTTAAAGCTTGCTGACACCCCTACCTTAAACCCTGGGGACCCAATACCAGTCAATGTAGACAAGGTGTGGAGAACCTTTGACTCTCCAGCTTGTTGCTGAACTGCAAGCCACAGAGGCAAAAATGGCCACAGCAACAGATGTGAACCATAGGCTGGTTTCATTTTGGCACACACCGCTCTTGTCCTCCGTTCAGGCAAGCAAAGGGCATTCCCAGAACTCAGAGACACATTCCAGCAGGGCAAAAACACATCCGATTTGCAAAGCAAGGGCCAGTAATGGGTGTGTTCTGGGCAGAAGGGGTGTGGCTTAGAGAGAGTTCCAAAAGGCCGATAGAGAAGACTGGAGACTATATTTGGA